ACTTGACCACTTGCCCACTTGCCTATCTTCTAGAAGGTCTACAGCTAAGCTTCCAGAACTCACTAAGACTCCTACGCTATAGACCTACAGATCGAACCCCTGCTGTCTATGGACCTACGACAGGTCTACCAACTGCCTACGAATACACAGGTCACAGGTTCAATTCTCGGGGTCTACACAGATACTGTACATGGGTAGGGTGAGGTCTAGGGATCGAACCCTGGGTACTGCATCCGCTACTGCTAAAAGGTGAAAACTGTTTCACTGGTGTACATCTTCTTCTTCTTCTTCTTCTTTTTCTTCTTTCTCTCTTCTTTGGTCTCTATCTCTTTGCAAGTGCTTTCATTTCTTTCGCAGTTGGGTGGCATTGTCTTTCATTGTGAATTTGCACTCTGGGAATGTCGAGGATCGTAACAATTAAATTCATTTATAAATTATAATAATAATTCGCCATTACAATGGACCCCACTTCAGAAGCTCACGAGCAAATCTGACATGAGACTCGAATTGATGGTTGGTCTATTGTGACTGCATTCAATGTACTTGGGTAAATATTGTGGTGGTATGGAAAAGAACAGCAGGACCATGAAAAAATATAAAAAAATATTAAAAAATATGTAACCGCCGTACAATGTTGAGATTTCCTCTTCGTCCACAAGATGTCTTTTCGCCACATCGGCTCTCTGCAAGGCATGCGGCCTCTTAGCCGCGACAACAAAAGGCCAAGGCCCACTGACCTCGAATGTCAAGCCCCCGGCCATTTTCTGAATCAAAATGGGGGATCCCACGCCCTGGGCGCCAGTTAGTTAGTTACAACCGAACACACGGGCTGTGAGACCAGGCTGTGGAATCCATGAGTGCGATGTGGCCCAAAGCTTTTCCGCCAATGAGAATGCAGGAAACAGCGACAGCCACGTCACGCTGTTGAGTCCCTCAACCACCCGGGCCCAGGGCACATTCCGGAAGCGCCCTGGGCGCCGACACAGGACAAGGCCCTGAAGCTACCGGGTACCGTACGCACCCGTCCAGGCCAGGCAGCCCACTTTCCATAAAGGAAAGTGCTGGGCCCCAGTCTTGACATTCTGGCCTGGAGCTTCACGTGAAAGCGCTGCTGCGATGCTGGCTGGCTGGCACGCATGCCAAAGGCTCGCTAAGCTGGAGGAGAACACGCTGACGGGCGCTTGAGAAGCTGCTGGGTGCAGCTTGGGGTACGCTGCAGCCATAACCGGGCTGCTGCTCGTACATAGACAGAGGGGGACTGAAGGGAGGTCCTTGGGAGAGGGCGTAGTGTGGGTGAGAGGTGATTGGGAAGCGAAGAGGAACATATTACCTGGTGATGCTGGTGAAGCCGAGGTCTCCTTTCGTCATCTGGCAGCTGTACATCATGAAGACCTGTTGACGTCAGGCTAGTGGTTAATAGGTGCTGTCTGATTGTAGTCTGGGCGCCAGGCGGCATGGTAGGAGAGCGACAATGGTGGAGGGGAGATAAGGGCTGACATTGTCATTTGAGTTCATTGCTTTGCTCTTATTTGGTGTGTACTTGGTGCTCTTTTCTTTCTTTTTGAGCACATGGCTTTCTGGCTTTCACTGAGATGATGCAACTCGGTTTCTTTACTTCGCAAGGCTCATTTTCCTTGCATATCTGCTCCTTCAGCGGCAATCTGTCCCAATGCTACTTCCCAAATCGATCTCTCTACAGCCCTGGCCCATCCCAGGGTGGCTCAATATTGCCGGAACTTGAAATGATAATGTCGTGCCGGACTGACGCTCCCCAGAATGGATATATGAGGCTCTGTTTTTTTGGTATTAAAAAAAAAGAAAATCAATGTTATTCAGTGAAGCGGCATGGAGTGTCCTTCCTCAAAAGGACCTCAATCACAACCTCATTGCCACTCAGAAGCTATCGTGACCTTCCCTCTCAACCCTGATCCCACTGCACTGACACCAGTGCCACACTCCCTCTCTCTAGACTCTAGAGCACAAGAGCCAAGACGATGGAATCTTAGAAAATGACAGTTCAACTCCCTCCCCTGCTGAGATTCCTCGTATTCGGGAAGCTACGACTCATGGGTAAGAATCCTCTTCCTACTTCTTGCCAACCCTCTTAGAATGGCCACCTCCTCCTTGAAGTTCTCCCATCTGCACCTCAGACCCTCCTCTGTACCGTGCCAGACACTATTCTGCACCATCACCTCTGAGGGTGCGTACTCACAATAGGACTTTCCCCACTTCTCTGTGGACGTAATTGCGGCTAGGTGCATCCAAGCGGGGTTGGAAAAGTGGTAACATACACCCAGGAAAGTCCTAGTGTGAGTACTCCCTGAGTCTTCGATACAAAATGACGAGCAATGCTGTATGCAACAGCTGGTCTTCGCTACAGCAGCTGTTGCTGAAAACTCTGGGCAAGGACTCTCCAGGTAAGCTTCCCCTTTCGACTCTACCTTGGATCTCCCCTCTTCTCTGTCTCGCAACTATACTGCATCAGCGCCTTCTACAGGTTGTGGCTACCCCTCTCTCTCTCTCTCTCTCTCTCTCTCTCTCTCTCTCTCTCTCT